ATGTTGGTTGACTTGGCTTGACTGAATCCTAAGGGAAACTGTGCCATTTCATTTCTGATCAAATCCACATTGCAACCTACATGCCTAGAATTCTCTCTATAGCCACTAAAATGAATGAAAGTTGAAAGCCAATTTATTTTCTATGAAGCTAAATTGACATTTCATTTAGATTTCTAGAGCTAAATTTTAATTGTTAATATATTTTCAAAGAAACCTTTCACATACATTTATCCTTCATTGTGATGTATTCTTTATTATTCAAGCCCAATGACTACATGAGATGCATGATTTCTAACATTTGAAATAATACTCTCTGCTTGAAAATGTGAGAAAGTAGGCAAAAATACCAGGCAGGAAGTTATTTTTTTAACTCTACCGCTTTTTTAGATAGGAGGGAAAGAATTAACATGTGAAATAGAAAATACTATGAACTTGGACAACTGTAACTCTACAGTTAAGGGGATTACAGGATGAATTTATAAGGTCTAAGTCCATATCATACTTGGAAAAGACCAATTCCACACTATGACAAAGGCATTTGCAAAATGAGAACATAAAATGTTTTCACTGGTACCGAATAAAGAATGGGTTGTAGTAAACTTTCGTATTATAGTCTCAATGATTTAAAACTGAACAAAATTTTAGAATGTATAAACCGCTGTACAAAAGTAAACCAGTCAGCCATAAGTAAAACTGGAAAGCATATTTATTATGTGGTTCAGTACCCTTAGTATTAAAGAGGAAATTGACTTTCCACTAAGTATTCAGAAAAGTCACATAATTCAGTAGCCTGAAGAAAAAAAGGATCTTCAATAAGAACACACTGCTTCATGGTCATATTAATTTTAAAAAGTATCCCAAGGAGAACAGATTCTTTTGACTTGCAAAACTCAAAGAGTGATTTGCAATGTTATAAGCAACACTCATAAAGCATATTAAGGTATTTAAAAGTTATACGGACACAGAACCACATTAATGTATGTCTACAGCATGTGCACAATCCCAAGGAAACAACAACACTGACATTGTTTAAGAAGAGATGAAGCAGTTCTAAAGACAGACAAGTGAAAGATTGTGGGAAGGGGGAACGTGAGGGGAAGTCTCAAGTGATCCATTTTGATTTAAAAATCAAAATCAGAGCGTAAATAAATGTGCTGAAAAGAATCAACTGCTTTTCATTTCCTCTGAGGAGTAAATCTTTTCTCTTTAACAAGGCAGGAACATATTGACTTCGATAGTTCTTTTTAACTTCAGAGTAACATTGCAAAATAGTTGGACTCTGTGTGCATTAAGTTCAAATTTGTATCCACAAACTCAACTTATGTAAGAAATATCACAAATATGTAAGAAATATCACCTGTTTTCTGGATGTGGAGACGTAAGCCTATGATCTTAAGATACTTGGTAAGTAGAGATCTAGGGAACACATCTTTAAGTCACCACAGCCATAAGAGTAAAAGTTGATCTCAATCAGTGTTCTTGGGTGCGGTGGAATATGGTTGCCGTCCCACAGGGAAAGGGAAGCACAAATAGAAAGATTACAGTCCAAGTCACTCAGGGCGTAAGTGGAGTCCCTATCCTGAAAATAACCAAACAGTAGGGGACTGGCACTCACTGGCACCCACTTAGCAAGTGTGATGCCCTGAATTCAATAAAAAAAATCACAATATTAAATTTTTCTTAGTTGCCTAAGTGTAACCAAATACAAATTTTAACATAATTTAAGAAATATATGATCATTCAAAAATAGAACATCATTACTTAAATCTCATTAGCTACTTTGTAATCTCTAAGTAGTTGTACCACAGAGTTGCCGTTTAACAAAGCAGTTTATGAGTATAATGCATCTCTACCTATGTCACCCTATGTAATTGACTTCTTAAAATACAAATGATATAATGTGAGATTTATAACTTACGTAAAAGTGAAATTTATAAAAATTCGAGGAAGAGATCTGGAGACATGCTGTCAGAAACTTCAATTAGTCTAAAAGGAAAAAAATTACACGATGGAAAAACAAAAACAGCAGTTGGAGCAAATAGAAAATGAAAGGAAGGGAGTAGATTTATATCTAACCAAACACAATCGTGTCAACAGCAAAGATCCATATGACTCAAGTAAAAAGCAAATGCATTTATGTGTTGCCTTCAAGAAAATCTTTATAGCGGGATGCCAGTGGCTCATGCCTGTAATCCTAGCTACTCAGGAGGCTGATATCTGAGGATCACGGTTCAAAGCCAGCCCGGGCAGGAAAGTCCGTGAGACTCTTATCTCCAATAAACCACTCAGAAAACTGGAAGTGGTGCTGTGGCTCAAGTGGTAGAGTGCTAGCCTTGAGCTGAAGAGCTGAGGAACAGCGCCCAGACCCAGAATTTAAGCCCCTTGACCAATAAAAAAGAAAGAAAATCATTTTTAGTACACAGACACAAATAGTTTAAAAGATAGAAAAAGTTGTACTTTATATTTTTACTTATAAATGATGTTATAGAATGCAAATGCAAAGAAAGTCAGAAGTGATTACATTATCAACACAAAATAGATGATAGAGAAAAGAATGTTACCAAGGATGATAGTCATTTGGATTATAATGAGGTCAATTCATCAAAACAGAAAAGTCCTATACATTTCTGCAGTATTAACAGAGCAAGGAAATACATGAAGCAATAAAACTGAATACCAGAATTAATTATAGATTTCAATAATCTTCTCTCCATAATTGAAAGATCCATTTGAATTTATGTGTCTAAATTAAACTAGTTTATGCTACATGGAGTTTTTTTTGTTTTTAAAAAAGAGGTCATTAAGAAAACAAACTCATTGAGCAATAGGGTGTTGAGAAGATGGGGAAAATGAGAATAAACTAGAGTCAACTTGATTAAAGTACTATATCCGCAAATGTGTGAAAACCACAGTGAAATTCCTTTGAACCATTAGCACAAGCTAAAAAAAAAGATTAAATCAGGCACAAGTGGGAGGGAAAGAATGAAGGAGGGTGAGTATGGTCAAAATACTTTATGTATTATGGAAATGGGACAATGAAACTTGTTGAGATTGTTTAGAGCAAGGGGAAAAGAGCTAAAAACAAGGGAAGAAAGGCTAATGGGGACATATTGTACATAGGTATGGATGTATCAGAACGAAAACACCTGTACAAGCAATTGATGCTCTAGCAACTATGAGAAAGCGAAAGAAAGCCAGGTTATTGTGTTTCCCATAAAGTATTTATAATGAATCAATTTTAGACTGTCTCTGTTGGTGATCATTACAGTTTGGGTATTTATTCTGAGCAGTGTGAATTAATTATAAAAGGGCTTCGGTCTCGGAGTCTGTGAAACCAAGTAAGAATACATTTCTTCTATACGTGGCTGGGATTCAGGACTGAGAATTTCTCATGACATAACAAAACCATGCAAAAGCAGAAGTTACACCCTTAACAATAAACAATGGAAATGGAACCTAATAAATATTCCAGCCCTCGTTGGTTCCAGATTCTGAGAAGATTACTAGAAAGAAGGCAAAAATAAGGGTCATTTAATTCTAGAATTTGTATTTCAAACAAAATTTTTTAAATGACATGACAGTCTTTGTATTTTCTGAATTCTGTTCAGTTTTAAGGAGGAAAACAAATCTCTCTTCTGGTCCTTTTTATTTCTTTCTCACTACATGGATCTATGCCTTCAAAGAAACCATTTATAAACTGGAGTAATCAGACCACCCACCATCTTATTATGCAAAGTCCCTAAAATACATATTGCATTTAAATTTAGGTTTATGTTGCCTAAGTGCCTCATATTACTAAGCTTAAATCCTGATTCTCTAACTTGGTGTGTGCACTGTGATTATATAGAACTTAAAATATGTAGCAATATTGGATGCTCTGGTTTGTTACTTGTAATTATGCTTTGTCTCCAAAAATTCAAAATGGTCACATTTACGATGTTGATGATACACATTTTGTGTATTGTCTCATGAAGATGTTTTATAACCTTATGTATACAGTTCTCTCACCAACTCTCAAATACTGAAACAAAAACAGCATAAAGGTGAGAAACACAAAGTCTTTGAAACCAGAGCACCAAGGTCTAGAACCAGCTGTACCACACACTACACACAGCCTTGAGCAATGTTCCTAAATTCACTGCCTATTTCTTCAAACCATACACAGGCATGCTTTCAAAGGACCCATCAAAGTAAGCATTCATCAAAGCAGTTAGCCAAAAGATTTCACTTCCAACCCAGTAATGAAAAATAAGAGCTACCTTTAAACTGAAAAAAAAAAAAACCAAAAACAGCAAAGACTAGACTAAAGATTATATACCTAGTGACATGGTGAAAATTCATTCCAACATTGTGGAATACTTGAAAAGTATTCCTTAGCCAAAAATGTTTATTTCTTAAAAAGAGAAAAGAGCTGTTAATACTGAGGAATGTAATAATATAGATAAAACATAGAGTGAAAAGACTTATTTCAAATTCCTATTCCAGTATGGTAATGAAAGAACAAAGTCTGAGTGATTATTTTATTCTGAATCATAGTCTTTCCATTTGTCATGACCTGTACGTATTAGATGTTCAGTAAACATATCCTCAGAGATTAAGTCAAAAACCTCGTCTAATGGTACTTTTCAGCCTCTTTGTCCAATACTACAGGAGTTCTTTCACTGTAATGGAAAAACTATAATGCATAGTGATGTTCTCAAAGGTGTCAGTTACTAATCTTCAGGCGCTTGTCTCTAAGAATAAACAAAGCAAATCTTCGTTGTGATACAATCTAAACTGCAAGATTTCATGTTCACAAAGATGCTTCTTCCATCCTTTCTCTTTTCCTAGTTCCTTTTCAGTAAGGAGCTTTGTGCTCTCTCACAAAATACTACTACTACTAATAATAATAATAATAATAATGCTGAAAACCTCATATGATTGACATCTCAAAGGTCATTTTCTTTTCCAACAATACATCATTGCCCTTGACTTGAAAGATGGCTTTGTTTGTTTCCCAGGTCTCCCGTTATGGCTGGAGGACTCTTTGCTGTGGATCGAAAATGGTTTTGGGAATTGGGTGGCTACGATCCAGGTTTAGAAATCTGGGGAGGAGAACAGTATGAAATCTCTTTCAAGGTAAGCCACCATGATTCTCTTCACACTTGTGGCTATGTCACTTTGATAATTCTGGTAGAATGCCCTCCTCTGTCTTGTGATCCACATGGTAACATGAATTAAGGACACTTCCCAAGTGTGTTTTTTCAGTGCTTTTTCCTTTGGATGGTTCAGTGAGAAGACATGCTACTCACAAAAAGAAATGATTCAAACTCCCACTTGCAGGTGGGAGACTTGCTGGGCCAACAGACGGACCTACCACTCCCTAGCAAGTGCATTCCTTCTGAAGCACGTAGATCACATCGAAGAATTAGGATGCATGGAGAAGTGTGAATTCAAGTTATTGGAATTGTTGCTTTTTGTATTTCATGAAGAATTGGCAGGTCAGAGTTTAATCGTAACTAGTTATTTCATAATCTGAATAACTGGAAAACTAAGTTAGAAAACATAAATGATAAACTGAAGCTCTTCTTCACAAAATTTCTAAATGACCAAAGTTTTTATTCATTATTATCTGGAACTTTCCAGATCTCTACTTATTTAGGAATTGATTCTTAGGCCCAGAGTTCAAGCCCAGGGACAAAAGAGAGAGAGAGAGAGAGAGGGGATGTTTTTCTACACTTTTCTAGACCTTTGAATTCTCTGATGTCCCCTGGTTCCTCTATTCCAGCAATAGCTGCACACCTTGTTATGGCGGACATGACCAGAAAGTAATATAGTGACAGTATTTGTAGAAATTGCATCTGCTATATTTACTAAGCCAGATGCTGGGCTAAGTACTTTATGGATATTAGCTAATTTTATAGAACAATAATAAAAGATGAATATAATCATTCTGCTTTTGCAGATGAAGAAAATGACACTTAAGATTTTTTTTTCCAATCCTGGGGCTTGAACTCTGGGGCTGGGGGCCCTGAGCTCCCTTTTGCTCATGGCTAGCACTGTGCCCCTGGAGCCACAGCTCCACTTTCTGCCTTTTTTCATGATTAATTGGAGATAAGAGTCTCACTGACTTCCTACCTGGGGTGGCTGGGATCCTCAGATCTCAGCTTCTTGTGTAGGTAGGATTACAGGCATGAGGCACCGGTGCCCAGCGGTTTTAAAGATTTTTAGATTAATTTGTTTAAATTTTAAAAGTTAATCACCCAGTATCTCATTGCTGAGACCACAGAGACATTAAATGGTCTGACACTCAACTCAGGGTCTACCCATCACTATCCTAAAGTTCACTGTTAACCTTTTGATTATTCACTAATGATCACTTAATGACTTCACTAATTTATTAGACTCATTTATACACTAATAACAGAACAGCAAATTTTCTGCTAATCTTGGGACAATAAAATACCACTGATTATCAAAAATTGCTCAAGTATTTGTGGCCTGCAAAGTTTACAATAATACCTTTGACTCAAAGGGCCAGAATTCTTCATTTGACTCTAGCAGCAATGAAATATCACTACTTTAAGAATATCATAAGAATTCAAATGAAATTATTTTTTCTACTTTGCATAGTTTCTAACCTTTGTTCATCTTCAAGTTCTCTCAGCTCATAAATTCTTAAAATAAGAGAAATTTTAGTACACAGGAGAGACCTGTCTTTAATGAACTGGATGACGAATAAAATTGCTCCTGCAAGTCTAAAGAGTTTTCATAAAATAACATTTGCATTCTAAATCACAAAGGTGTTTCTTTTAGATTAAATATAAACTTATATCACACTTCGTGTCAGCTGAATATGCCACGTCTCCTTTGTGTGACCTGAGATTTTATTACCCCATTTCCTATTTTTCAGTTTATCTGTCATTCTGAAAGATATAATTGGAAAGCAGCCCTAGCGCCTTTGTCTAAAAACCATAGCAACAGCACTCGAAGTTCAAGACTAAATTGGTCCAGGTTGTTTGGTTAGAATGACAGATTCTTTGGTGACAGTTATGTCTTAACAGGGTCCCATTTCAGACATATCCTTCATTCTTTTTTTTTTCTACTGTTTAGTGACCTTGGGGTTTCTGTCCCTCTGTATTAATATTTTTCACACGAAAGAGACAAACTTGGACAAGCTTTGATAGAATTTACACTGAAGGAAGAAGAATGTTTTCTGTGTGAAAGGCATCAAAATAGTGTTGTACAGAATTAGCTCTTTTAAATGATAATTCAAAATAAGAGAAAAAATATCAAATGCCTGACTTTATGGAAATGCACCATAAATTAAGCTGCATCTTGCAGCATAAAGATATAGCCAACTAAAGCATGTCACATGATCATATAGAAATAGTTTTTTTCAATCTATAACTTAGATATGATAGTTCAAAAGATTTTTATGTATGGGTATTTCCAAGCAACGTTTCTTGATACTTACTCTTGACATTTTGCTGATATTTATACAGAATCACATCATAACAGTTTCCTGAAAATTCCATTTCATATGAAATTTTTGGCTGGACTATATTTTGTTAAAAGAATTTTCCAGTTATCTTTTCTTTCTGTAACTGTCTTTGCTTCATTTATCTGAAACTATTGACTTCTTTAAATGAGTAGTTTTTCTGCCATAACATAAAAGCCAACTCAGTATAATTTTCAGGACTTAGCTGAGCTAAACAGAAACAGTTTGTACACACTGTGAGCCACCTTCAACGTCTTCCAACAAGTACCTGGAGTCCTAAGTGGCATGTCCAGCTGCTTTTAGATGTTTCTAGGTTAGTCAGCTACCAGGGAGGGGAAAATCGCATTTGGTCAATCTCTCAACCTGCTTTTATTGAGCCTCTAAATTATGTCAAGCATTGTTTCAGGTACTTAATTTGGATCTGTACTTAGAAATAAAGAGGAGACCAAGACAGACTTCATGGCGTGGAGTACAAGTTCTAGTCCCTATGTCTAACCCCACGAAGAGTCTCTACTATTTCACAATACATTTGTATATCATTCCCCAAAGATAAAAATCTAAATATTAGCATTTCCCAAAGAGCTGTCCTTTGATTGCAGAAAAGTCAAACAATAAATGTAAACTATGAAGTTGAGCACTGGTGGCTCACACCTGTAATCCTACCTATTCAGGAGGCTGAAATCTAAGGATAGAGGTTCGAAGCCAACCCAGGCAGGAAAGTCCATGAGACTCCAGTGAATCACTGGAAGTGGAACTGTGCCTCAAATGGTGTAACACTACCCTTGAGTTAAAAAACAAAGCTGAGGAACAGCATTCAGGTCTTAAGTTCAAGCCCAGGCTGGGCACAAAAAAGTAGACAATTATTAGTAATTAGGCACCCATGAAAGATGTAGAGGGAAGCCCAGGGATAGATTGTGTGGAACCTTCTGATAAAGGACATAAAGTTCACATCAAGGTGAATCAGTATCAAATGAAATTAGAGTTTGCCTTTTCTATCAACAAGGACCAATATAGATCTACTATTTCTTGGCTACCTGTAGAGTCAGGAAGAGCTTATGATCCATAACTTCAGCTGTGCAGAAACACCTGAGGCTCTAGGTGGGATAAATATAAGAACCACACATCCTAGAATGACTATGTAAACCTTAGAAGCAAACCTACAGACTACCTCAAAACCACTCTCCCTGGGTAATCAGATCCTAGGTTACCTCCTGTGTGATGCACTACCATCTTCCTATGTGATGTGATGAGCTTAATACTCAGACATTTAAGGAAACTCATTAATTCATCCAACAGTTACTTTCTGGGCTAAACTCTTGAGATTTAAAGGCAAATGTGAGAAGTATCTGTCTCTGCAGGAAGCTTATTCTTTCATAGATACCAGGAAAATTAATTCCCAGTAACTCCTCACCCTAAGTCTGTTTAGGAGATATTTTGCTCCCATATTCACGGTCATAATTCAGTGCATATTCATTAGCCTCTCTTCCTCTAATTTTAATCCTCTTTTATTTCATCCAGCATTTCATTAATTGTCTCCCTAATTTATTTTATTTTCCTCTCCTAAGAGTTCATAGTTGTTCCTAATTACCACACAAATCAAATGAACATATTGAATCATGAGCCATGAAGCTTTTCATCAGTTATCTGTGGCTCTTAATCTATACTCCATATCAGCTGAACTAGTATTTTTTTTCTTCTCTGAAAAGATGAAACTTTCAGTTCTATTCCTGTCCTTTTCATTTCACAGATTTTTAACCAACCAGACCAGGCTTTGATTCTGAGAAATTTGTTGATCTTCTCTACAAATATTAATCTTCAACTTTGTCCATGTGACGATATACCATGCAAGCTAGACTATATGGAAAAGGACAAAAGAAGCAATTAGAAGCTCTTTATCAAATACAATTGTCATGAGCATTTCACCCATTAAAAAGAAACATCTACTGTGCAGAAAAGCACAAAATTACATTAATCGTTTTTCCTCTAAAATAGGACATAGAATATATTTAATTTTATTCACCAGTCTTTTAACATAAGGGAAGTGAAAGCTTTCCTCTGCCTTACTAATTTGAGTTAAACCACAGGTGCACATGCCACACACAAAATGCATTCGTTAAGAATTTCCTAATGTGGGTTCCTTTATTATATGGAATTCTATCCGTGAGATACAGAGAAGCTACACTTTTAAGAGGTCGAATTGGAGTCTTTATTAGAAAGCCAGAGACTGCAAGTAGACTCCTGACCTGAAGACTTGCAGCTTTGAATACATTTAAATATTGTTAAGAAATTGAGCCATCAGGGTAGTAAAGAAAGAGCAGGAAAACAATCTCAACAAACCAGATCAACTCTAATGGAGAGCTGAAGAGGGACGCCAGGGTGACCTCATGTCAGGAGATAGCACAAAATGGCGGCTGTGGTTCTAGGGCCTAAATAAGGTCATGATCAGGTGGAAGTGTCACAGAGAAATGGAGAGTTCCAGTAAGATTATGAACTCATGGTACAAGTCTGGCAGGTCCAGTAACCTATTCCTAGAGGTCTGCCTCTAGAAATTCAGGCATGCCCATCACCTGAGGATGGAGGTGGGCCTTCAGTTCTAAGAGATTTTAGGAATTCCCCATCATCTACCGTGTTGCCAAGA